TTACTGAAAGGCTGAAGGGCAGTCCCTATTCTCAAACTGCTTACGATCCAGTAGGAAGGTGAGCTCACATGCAAACGCTGTACCTCAAAAAGAATGTGGCTTAGTGTCATGGAGAGGATTAGAGTCTGGTTTAGCGGAAGCAATGCAGAGCAGGCTCCTGGGAGGCCAGGGGGCTCGAAAGGTGCCTGGAGTTAATCTGGAAGCCAAATGCAAGACACGTACCCATGGTTTCATGCCTCTGAGCAGCTTCCAGGCCTGCAACCTTCCTTCCTCATCAAGGGCAGTAATGACACTAATGTCAGTCCTGAGAAAGGCTGTAGGGACTGAGAATGTTACAGCTGAGGAAGCTCGGGGGCCCTAGGAGTTATCCAAAGCCAACCAACTGGGAAGAGTAGGCAGGGAGATGCAAGCTGGCTAAAATTCAATGTGTAAGCAACGACTGCTTCCCAAAGTGAAGTCCTTTCCCAGAGCTTCTGGTGGCATCTGTCTCTCTGGTGCCAGGCTTCTCGGCTGTAAAGCCCCTTGGGGGAGACTGCGACCAACAATCTCCAGGCAGAAGGCCAGGTAAAAGAACACCACACATCTCAGAGTCCTGAGGAATGAGATGAAAGTTCCCTAAACCAAACAGCAAATGTCTTCTTGATGTCTCAGGCCCAAGCCTCTCTGGATTCCTAAGGTTTTTCCTCACCCTCACAGGTAAATGAGCCGTGTCAGCCTGTCCACCATGCTCAATGTCCCCTATGGACCCAGTGAGCCGTAGGCGCTTTTGTGCTGAGACCTGCAGGTGACCTAGTTGAATCCCTTCACTCTCTGCATGTACAACAATGTGGCTAATGCCACGGCCTCTACGCTTTCTTTTCATTCTCCCTTGCCACTAGACAGTGACTTAAGAGTCACTCCCCTCCATTGTGAAATCACAAGACTCTTGTGACCGTTGCTCAGATACATTGAGGAGCCCCATCAAATCGTGGGATTTTATACTCTGATCCACCTGGCAGAGGCACGAGGGTGCATGGATTGCAGAGAACAGCGTGGTGCTTTTCTCTCACTCAGAACAGACTGCTGCCGCTGGCCTACCCTTCGGCTTTGTGATCCGGTACACCCAGGGCCTGCCGCGTGCGAGGCCCGCAGCCATCCGTTTTGCCTGTCAAGTTCCTCAGTGGCCTGACTCTATGGCAAGCAGAGTGAAGCTGGCCCCTTCACCTGCTGGCTGTTTATCTGGGACACAGGGTTTGTGGAGAGGGGCCCGTCAGAGAGAGCAAGACTTACGCTCTCAGAGTTCCTGGAGGGGAAGGAGGTAGTGCTGACATACCATTTCTCCAGAGTCTGTGCCCTCACTGTCCACAGGGACAAGCACCTGTGCTCTGTGACCGGGTGTGGCACACTGGAGGAGCTGGCCAGGCTCTCACACATACCACTCACCCTCTGGTGGGACCCTCACTCACACAACTCAGCTCCTCAGTCCCTCCGGGTCTTCAGCAACCAAGCCCCTGGTCTGGAGAACATGGTAGGTTCCTATGGCAATGGGCCTTTTAGCTGTTTCTATGGCAACCAACACTCAGACCATCTAGTTGCTAGTCAACTGACAGCTGTAAGGGAATCGGATTCAGTTTACACAAGCCGAGGCTTAGGCCCAGGGATCCTCTGGAGAGGAAACGATACAGCTACCCCAAATGACTCAACTCCTCTCAAGACTTTTAGTCAACATCTGGGGAAAGCACTCTCACTTTCCTCCTTGAATCACACAGCACCATCCATTCACATTTCCGACACACACAACTGAGCATGTTTGGCCTTTCGCCAAAGCACACACTAATCTCTTTTCCTGGTTCCGTCTACTCTCAGAGGGCTACTGGGGGAAGCATTTATTTCAAATGATGCTCACCCTACTGACTTTTTGATACACTGCTCCATGACAGTGTTGTTCCTAGGTACTACAACTTTGTCATCAAACCAACCTATCGTGGAAGTACTGTTCTTGGAGTCTCTCAAGAAAATGGTAATCCAAGATCATCTTTTCTTAGTTGACCCCTACAACTTCAAGTCCTTTCGTAGGCCTGGGGCATTCCCAGGGACCACTCTGCTTTATCTATTTCTATGAATTATAATCATATTTTCTTCTTCTTTCCTTCCTACCTTCCTTCCTTCCTTCCTGAGACAGGATCTCATGTAGCCCAGGCTGGCCTTGAACTTGCTATGTAACCAAAGATGACTTTAAACTTATCCTCTAGCCTCTAATGCTAGGACTCTGGGCATGTGCCATGCTTAGACTATGACTTATTGTTATTTGTATGTGGTGAGGACATCAGCAAGCCATTGTCCTTGTGTGGAGATGACAACCTTGGATGTCAGTCCAAGTTTGAGACAGATGTCCTTTGTCACTGCATACAGCAGGCTAGCTAGTATAGGCATGCTGGGATTAGAGCCAGCATTTTTTTCTTTCCAATTTTATTTCAGGTGTATGTGTGTTTTGTCTGTATGTTAAGTCCATGCACTATGTGTGTGCAGTGCTTGAAGAGGGTGTCGGATCCCTTGGAACTGGAGTTACAGAGAGCTGTGAGCTGCCACGTGGGTGCTGGAAACTAAACCCCAGCGCTCTAGAAGAGCAGCCAGTAGTTAACCACTGAATCATCTCTCCAACCCCACGTCTGACTTTTAAAGTGGGCTCTGGGGATGGAAGGTGGGGTCCTCACACTTGTTCAGCAAGCATTTTACCCACTAAGCCATATCCTGAGTCTTCACTGTTTGTTAAACACACACACACACACACAATTTCAAAATCAAGCACAGGACTGGAAACTAGTCTGCCCTTGTTGGTTTTTATTAGCATGAAGATCTGGGGATTTACCTGCCTTGGATTCATGTAAGGCAATGGTTCTCAGGTCTGTCCCTATCACATTATTAGTATCCTGCATATCAGATTTATATTGCAATTCATAATAGTAGCACAATTACAGCTACGAAGTAGCAACAAAAATAATGTTATGGTTGGGGGTCACCACAACATGAGGAACTGTATTTAAGGGTCACAGCATTAGGAAGGTTGAGAGTCACTGATGTAAGAATTGCTCAGAAAGTCAGAGACTGGCATTGGAAAGTGTAGAACCCTTTGAATACTTAGGATTCAATGCTTCTGTGTTAATGACTGTGAACTTCCTGTAGAGATGACTTTCCCAACTAATCCTCCCATGGGAGCCCTATCTATCTCATAACTGCAGGCTCCACCAAGCTTCCCAATGGCTGGTAGGCAAACCGTTCTAAGCTGTTGGGTCCCCTCCTGTTCTGATCATAAGGACAAAAGGACACATGATAACAGAGATTTTTTTTCCAATTTTTCTTTCACATGAGGGCAGAGGAGTATGAAATTTGGGTTTGGGAGCTGTTAACTTTTATGGAGCTGAAAAGGCAAGAAGAATATTTTAGGACCAGGAGTCAGCAAACACAGCCTAGCCCAGTGGCTCACGTGGACAAGCATGTAGATTACATGCATTGACTCATCTCACTTCGTACGCACTGCACTAACATTGTCCCTGGTCAGTGAATTCAGAAATCCAAACTGAAGCATGGAGAAATGAAATTTAAAGCTCACATTACAGCTGATTAATTGTCGGAGACAAAATTTAACCACAGGCAGTTGGAAGCAAAGACATCAGCAGGTAGCTGCTTTTGGAGCTGACATGACTCACAAAGTATCTACATGGGAAGACAGGGTGGGCTCAGTGTGAAAGGACACACAGAAGACATCAGATGGCACGGGGTGTGTGTGTGTGTGTGTGTTTGTGTGAACCGCTTGCCTTTAGTAACTTCATTACTGACCCACTGCTGCCCCCTGGTGGTTTGCCTGGGAAACTCACTAGTGAGGGAAGCCAGGGACCTAGTGCTGTTCAGATTCTATATATGGGGGCACACACCTGTTTGCCAGCACTTAGGAGGTAGAAGCAGGATGATCAGGAAGTCAAGGTTCTCTGATACATTATAAGTTCAAGGCCAGTCTGAGCTACACCAGATCCTGTCTCAAAAATTTTAAAAAAGTATGTGGATTTCATACAGCAAACTGAGACCCATGGCCATTCTTATTACTTCAATATTTAATCAGTGAACCATAATCTGCTATGACATTTCTTCTCTCTCTCTCCCCCTTGAGATTGGGTCCCATATAGCCCAGGCTGACCTTGAACTCATATACATGGGGTTGGTTTCAAAACTTTGCACCAGTCCTCCTGCCTTTCAGAGCTGAGATTATGGGTGTGGGCCGTCAAGCTTGGACTTGGGTGGGTGGGTAGGGGTGGGATCACGGGTTAAGTATACAGTTCAGGTTCACCTGGAGCTCAGGACCCTCCTGCCTCTTGTGGGCTAGGCCTAGTTCTTTATTTGAACAGGATCTCAATGTGCTGCTCAGGCTGGCTTGGAACTCACAACCCTCCTGCATCCTCAGAGCCACCACTTTTTACCTTTCCATTTCTAGGCTTTCCTATTAGGGTGGAGGATGTCCCAGTGGCCACTCCCCTTCACTCCTCTTCAGGTGTTGCTATTCATTAGGTCATGTTTGTTTGCTGCTCAGACATGCTTGAAGTAAGACTGTGTGCAGGCAGCAAAACGGAACAATGTCTCTTTCTTTTTCTTTTTTCCTTTTTTTTTTGTTTTTTTGTTTTTTTGGGACAGGGTTTCTCTGTTGCTTTGAAGCCTGTCCTGGAACTCTCTCTGTAGACCAGGTTGGCCTTGAACTCACAGAGATCCGCCTGTCTCTGACTCCCAAGAGTGCGGGGACTAAATGTGTGCGCCACCACCACTGCCCAGTCAATGTCACTTTCTACAGATACGATCTAGCTTGTGAGAAAGAAATTGGGGAAAAGGGCAGTTTCCACTGGGTGCCTGCCTGCTATGGACCTGTCTGGATGAACACAAATGCAAGAATGGCAAGTTAGTTTTTATCAGAAGGCTCCATCTCCAGTGCAGAGAGAGGATACAAGTTAATTCTACTGAAAAACAAAACAAGCACCTGCAAGCAAGTATGTCTTTAATGAAAACCACAGAAGAACAAGAAACAAGAGCTAGCCACAAAGAAACAGAACTAAAGCATCCAGAGCTAAGTTTCTGCTGCAGAACACCTCTCAGGCAGTCTCTGGACACTGGAGAGGTGGTCACTACTGTTGAAGCATCGGGGCTGAGGGTACCATCAAGACTCCGTAGACTGATTAGCCAGGTGCATGGGACTCAGGAGGCACTTATGAGACGAGGAACCTGTAGAGGTAATTAACCCCCAGCTAGAGGGGAGTCTCTCAGAAGCCATCCTTCACAGTGGATCCATAGCCCTGGGTCAAGTTATCTGACATCCTTAAGCAACCTCCTCCCGACCTGTGTGGTGGGGTCCACGACCTTAATCCAACAGCAAACAGTCATGGAAACTACTCTACTCCTGCCTCCCTCTTCCGTTCTGCGACCTCAACAAAGGCTATCGAGGGGGCAAGAGCTTGAGCTCTCAAGAGTAGGGTTGAGAGGCATAAAGTAGCAGTCTTGAAATCCTGTTCATCTTATGGCACCGGGTCAATTTCAGGTGTGACTTCTCTTCTGTTTCTTCCCTTCCCTCCAGTCATGGCCTCTCACCCCACACAGACACTGGGCAACGAAGAGTTTAGCCTCTGATCTCCACCGGGATCTCCCAGCAGAAGAGGTTTTGCTTTTTGTCATCTTGAAGTTCCCATTTCACCACCAGCTTTAACTGGAAAAAGAAAAGGAATTGGGGAAAATGAAACCAGGGCCTGACCTTTATCCATAATGACTTCAATATGCACCTTCAGTCCTAATTCATTCTTTCTTTTTTCTCTCTTTTTTACATTAACCATAGAATTTATTACAGGGCGGGAGAGCGAGAGAGGGGCTCCAGGCAAGAGAGACAAAGAGGGTAAGAGAAGAGAGAAGGGAGAAGAGAGAGCGAGGGGGAAGGGTGTAAGAGAGTGAAGGGGCCCCTAACTCTTTCCTTTTAAGTCATATCATCGTGCAGTCCGATTAGGATATGGCCACTATCTGGGGCCTTAAACTCCAAAGAATAAGTCAAGTTATACCTCACTGTTCATCCAATCTAGTCCAATTTATCAATGTAATTTTTTCAAGTATAATATTTCTTCCCTCTCTCGTCTTCCTTTATGTTTAATTTTTTTCTCAATTTTATGTGAATGAACACTTGTCTGAATGTATGTATATGCATTACTTGTATCTCTGGTACTGGAGTTACAAATGGTTGAGTTACTTCTTGGTGCTGGGAATTGAACCTGAGTCCTCGGAAAGAGCAGCCAGTGCTCTTAACTGCTGAGCCATCTCTTCAGCTCCCTTCTGTTTCTTTTTAAAGATACAGTCTTCATAGCTAATCTAGGCTTGAACTTACTATGTAGTATGGCCTGCAATTTGTGGCAATCCCTCTACATCAGTCCCCTGCATCCTGGGATTATAGATGGACTACCACACCTGTTATCAAATGCAACTCTAAAACCCTTCCTTCTCTTCTCTTCCTCCCTCCATTTGTTGAAACAGAGTTTTTGTTACACAGCTTTAGCTGAACCAGCACTTGCTATGTAACTCAGCCTGGCCTCAAACTTCTAGTCTTCCAGAGTGTTGAGATTACAGGTGTGCCTTACTGGGTGTCAAGATAGATCAGAGGCATGTAAATAGAGCCTTACAGTCTTTTAAAAAAATTTTAAATAGCTTCTCACTTATTCAGCAATCTTCTATAGCCTTTTCCACTTGAAGTATGAAAACAGAAAATAAAAGCTCTTAGATTCTTCAGTGTAAAGAAACTTTCTTGCTAGCTAGAAATGAAAATGCCAAAGCATGAAAGATGACCTAAGCAGTGGGTAGTAACCCCTTTGTGTGTGTGTGTGTGTGTGTGTGTGTGTGTGTGTGTTAGCGACTCTTTCCCAGGAATTACCTATGATCATTAGAAAACAGATATTTACATTACGATAGCAAAATTAGTTATGAAGTAGCAATGAAAATAATTTTATGGTTGGGGAGTCACCACAACATGAGGAAATATATTAAAGGGTTGTAGCATTAGGAAGGTTGAGAACCACTGGTCCAAAGGCATGTGTAATTGGATAATTTCAAGGACAACCACCCTGTGTAGCAAAAGAGTTTAAGTTAACTTCCTTGAACTGTTCCCCCCACCCCCACCCCTTTGGTCTCTCCTCTCCCAGACTGGGCTGGGACTCACTGTACAGCCTAGGATGTTTAGAATGCACATCAGTGCTGCCTCAGCTTTCCAAGAGCTAGGATTGCACAGGAGCCCACGCAGCTCTCATCTTAAGCTGATGACAGGAGCCCACGCAGCTCTCATCTTAAGCTGATGTGATTATAGATCTCATTTGAGGTCTTGACTGTGACTTGCTACGTTCAGACTTTGAGCTGTGTGGTTGCTGTTGTTTCTTGAGACAGTCTCACTTCTGCATTCCAGGCAGCCTGAACTCTGGAATTCACTAGATAGTCTAGTGTGGTGGAATATTATTTAACTTTGTAAAGGTGTGTTACATTTTTTTCTGCTGCTTTTGTTAACGATGCAAAGACGTGTTATATTTATTTGATTAAGTAAAATTAACCTGGGGTTGAGGAACAAGAAAAGGAGGAAAACGGATACTAGGGGCAGTCACCCAGTTAGCCACAAAGTAGAAAGGAAAGAAAAGATTTACAGAAATAGAGGTAGAAGCCCAGAGACAAAAGGTAGACAGGGTAACTTAAGAAAAGCTGTCTTGGGGCTGGAGAGATGGCCCAAAGGTTGAGAGCACTGAATGCTCTTCCAGAGGTCCTGAGTTCAATTCCCAGCAACCACATGGTGGCTCACAACCATCTATAATAAGATTTGGTGCCCTTTTCTGGCCTGCAGGCAGACATGGAGGCAGAATGCTGTATACGGAATAAATAAATCTAAAAAAACAAAAAAAGAAAAAAAAAAAAAAAGAAAAGTTGCCTAGAAACAAGCCACGCTAAGACCCGGCGTTTATAAACAAGAATAAGCCTCTGCGTGATTTATTTGGGAGCTGGATGGTGGGTTCCTAAAAGAGGAAAGAGTAAAAACAAACACCAATGACAATAGTCTGGGCTGGCCTTCAAGTTACAGCAATCCTCCTGTCTAAGCCTTCTAACTCAGAGATCCTCCTGTCTCTGCCTGCTGAATGCTGGGATTAAAGATGTGTATCAACATGCCTTTCTGTTTGTTTGTTTTGTTTTGTTTTTTGAGACAGGGTTTCTCTGTGGCTTTGGAGGCTGTCCTGGAACTAGCTCTTGTAGACCAGGCTGGTCTTGAACTCACAGAAATCTGCCTGCCTCTGCCTCCCGAGTGCTGGGATTAAAGGCGTGTGCCACCACCACCACCACCACCACCAGGCTTTTTTTTCCTTTTTTTTTTTTAAGATTTAATGAGCTGCCAGGACCTGCAGTGTATGAGTGTTTTGTCTGCAAGTATTTGAGCACCATGTGCATACTGCACCCTAGGAGACCAGAGAGGGCGTTGGATCCCCTAGAACCGGAGTTAGCCCTGAGCTGCCTGACAACAGCAGCTGGGAACCAACTTGGGTCCTTAGCAGAGCAGCAAGTACTCCTAGCTGCGGAGTGGCCTCTCTGGGCCTCGCCTCCTAATGGTAATAAAGTAGCTCTTTATGGGAAAAGAGCAATTGCTTTACTTCCTCCGTTTTGATCAGATTCCTCTCTAATGGTGAACCCTGCAGCACCATTCTGCCTGTCATCAGTTACTACCAGTTTTCCACTCAAACTGTCTTCACAATGTAACATTCCGGAAACAATAACATGCATGTTCTTGAGAACTTGGCTTTGTCTTCAAGATTTGTGTATGCTACTGTTTAACTTGGTGTTTAACCGCTTAAGGTGTTTTTCAAGCTAAATGCAAAGTACCTGCTGTGAGTCAGAGGGAACTCTGCTGCTGGCTAAGGTTGTAAACTTGCTAGCCACCTAAAACCTTTATGGTTTCCAACAACCCTTAAACCAGAGGTTCTCAACCTTCCTAATGCTGCCAGCCTTTATTTCAGTTCCTCATGCTGTGGTCACCCCCAACCATAAAATTATCTTCATTGCTGCTTCCTAACTGTAATTATGCCTATGGCTCCTCAAACCTATCTCCTCTCTCTCAGGCCTTTTCAGCTTCACCAGAAGCGAGAAGCCCTTTGCCCCAGTCCCTCCTCCTCCTCACTCCCAGCCTCCAGATCCAACCCAGCCCCGGGGGGGCTTCCGGTTCTATCAGGGAAAGCGCACTCACGGAGGGGTATTCACTCTTCACTGGCAGTTTATTCAGGTAGCTGTAGGTCTTGTCTTTCTGGATGGGGCATTTGATTCCAGATTTGCAACCGTCGGGCTCAGGAATCGGGAAGAAGACAGGGAGTCCTGCCAGTATGCCGTACACTGCGGCGGAGCTGTTCTCCGACTGAGTGCCTGGGAAGTCAGAGTCGACGGTGAAGGTGCTTGTGTATTTGCAAATTCTAAGTCAAGTTGTCAAATACATTCTCAAATGCTAGAATGCCTATAGCAGCAGATCAGAAAGCCTCTTCATCCCAATATCTCCGTTTTATGGGTCACCGGTAGTACCCAGCCCTGGGGCACGTGATAAAGGAGCTGATTTCTTTCCTTGCTCCCATCAAGGGAATCAGGCTACCTGGACAAATAACCTTATCTCCCAGGACCACTGGCTTCTGTCAGAGTGTGCTGTTCAGTTTTAAATACCACGGGCTAGCTCGGCAGCGACAGGTAATCCTTTTTATACTGTGTTAAGATTAAAAGAACCGTTCACGTCTCGGTCCCTTTAGTTTCCACACTGAAGACAGGAAGGAGGGATAAAGTGTTATCAGATCAGGGCAACTAGTTATTACAGTTCTCAGGCAGGAGTGAAGGGAATCTAAAGAGACCACTGTGCTCTTCCCTCCAACTACCAGGCTAGTGAGACAATGTGCCCCAAGGAATTGGAACTCCCCCTAGAATTCCACGCCCGCCCGTGGTGTCAGTAAAAAAAGGAACTTGCCATGCGGGCAAGTCACAGGGTTCTAGCAACATGGAGACAGGCCTGGGCTGAGCTAACACATTAACACCTTGACCAGGCCTCTTGCCTTCTATTTAACCTAACCCACCTCAACTCTACCGCCTGGAAGAGCTCTTGGTTTGTTCCTCTTCCCAGTGTGGCTACGCTGAGTAAGTTCCCTTTCTCTGCATTTCACTCTTACCAGATCCCTGGAACTGGAGTTACAGACTGTTATGTGGGAGATCCGGACTGAACCTGAATCCTCTCAATTGTGCTGAAACTCAGGACTAGAGAAGGGAGCCTCTGCAGCTGCTTGGGCTCCTTAGGAGACTTCAGATTTTATTCTTTTTTGAAATAGGGTTTCTTAGCTTAGCTCTGGCTGACCTCTGTAGATCCTCTGCCTGCTGAGTGCTGGGATTAAAGGTGTGACCCTTTTCTAAGGCCCACTATCAGGGAGACGCCACCTCCCATGATGCTCCCTCAGCCTTGTCAACAGACAGAAAGTGGCCCTTCAGTTTTTTTGTGTAAGAGCATGTGTGAGTGTTTGTGTGTGAACACAGCCCAAGGCTGCTCACAGGCTCATGATTCGTCCCCTGCAGCCTGGCTTGACTGAACGTCATGCAGAATGTTAGGATTTCTGTCTGTCCTTTCTTCACCTCCCTGCTGTCTCAGTCATGCTTCTAGGACCCACTGTACTGGAACCCAGTTGAGAAAGGTGTCTTGGGACAGTTGTGGCCCTGGGGGATCCCTGCTGAGAGACATCACACAGGACCAGAGAGGACGCTCTCACATAGTCCTGACTCACAGCTAAGGCTGCACAGCTCCTAGCTCTTAAGTCACCCTTTTCATACATTGTGAAACTACTACAGGAGATTCTCCTCTCCCTACTTGTATCCAGAACTCAGGTTTCCTTTCAGAATGTGATGAGTAATGGAGAGTTATGAACCCAGATACTGTCCAGGCCATCGTAAACTCTAGCTTTGTGCAAGTCAGGGAGGAGGCCGGCAAATTCTCGCAGTCAAGCTATGGTCCCCTACATCCCTAAGCTCCTTCCAACGCCTCACATTTACTTTATGGTAGAAGTCACATTTACTTACTGCTAGTGAAAGTGACATTGACACTGTAAGACTGGCCTTTGTGTAGCTCACAGGGCTGGGTGGGACATGGGCTCACATTCACTTCCTTTATAAGTCCGACCTTAGAACCTGCAAAAAAGAAAAGTGATTTGAGTAGGAGGAAAACAGCATCCCCGAGGCTGCCGGTCCCTCATGGGGAGGTGTGCTCATGGGGAGGTGTGTTCCTTTCTTGGCGTACTTCTTTTCTTCTGACTGTGTTCCTGAGGTGCACACTTTAGGACAAAGGCAGGGATTCGGGGCCAGGTAGACAGATGGCTCAATAGGTAAAGCTCTGGCCACATGGTGTGAGGCCCCACATTTGAATCCCCAGAACCTACATAAAGTCAGATGTGGCAGTGTGCATTTGCATTTGTGTTCTTACAGAGATGAAGGTAGGATGCAGCCAGCATAGCGGCAGAGACCCTATCTCAAACAAGGCAGAAGGCAAGGACCCACATCTGAGGCCTCCTCTTATCTCTATATGTGCACGCCTACAGGTACATCATACCCCACCCCTCAAACTCACACACACACACACACACACACACACACACACACACACACACCCATCAAGTTGAGAATTTTGGTACTGCTAAAATCAATCCTATAAATTGAATGAAAAGCTAGTTCATTTCCTGGCAAAGAGAATACTAATATTTGTCAAATTAAGAAATATAGTTGAGGCTGGGCGTTGGTGGCGCATGCCTTTAATCCCAGCACTAGGGAGGCAGAAGCAGGCGGATCTCTGTGAGTTGGAGGCCAGGCTGGCCTCCAAAACAGAGAAACCCTGTCTCGTAAAAACAAAAACAAACAAACAAACAAAAATATATATATATAGTTGAGAATGGTCTCAACTATATATAGTGAACATGGGTTCACACACAGTATTAAAGGACTGTATTTTTAAAAAAAGCCAGGTGTGGTGGCACACATCTATAACTATAGCACTTGGGAGGCAGAGGCAGGTGAATCTCTTGTGAGTTCCAGGACAGCCAGAGCTATACAGAGAAACACTGTCTTGAAAAGCAAAACAAACAAAAAGATCTAAATGCTCTTAGATACTTGTCTTACTTTTTCTCTTTCTCTCCCCCTTTTTTGTAGGGGTACTGGGGATTGAACTCGGGGATCTTCATATCTTGTCTTGAATTTCTTTTTTTTTATTAATTTATTGTGTGTGTCTGTGTACATGCATATATTTTGAAGCGCATGTGTGAAGGTCAGAGGACAGTCTTTAAGAGTTGCTTCTCAGCCGGGTGGTGGTGGTGTACAACTTTAATCCCAGAACTCAGAGGCAGAGGCAGGCAGATCTCTGTGAGTTCTAGACCAGTCTGGTCTACAGAGAGAGTTCGAGGACAGTCAAGGCTACAAAGAGAAACCCTGCCTCAAAAAACAAAAACAAAACAAAAAGAAATAAACAGTTGTGTTAGTGGTCTGGTTAGTCAATCTTGGTTTTTTAAATCAGTGGTATCTAAAATCTGCTGTCTTATAGAACTTAAGAGGAACCACCATGTCAATCCTCAAGAGAAGAACAGCCCTGAAGAGAGGGAACAGTTCCCTCCTTGAAGCTGAAGTTCTCCACAGCACTTCTGCTTTCCTGGCAGTCACTCTCCAGGGCAGAGTACCACCTAAGAGGCCCACTTAGCATCATAAAGCACTCTGGCTCTAACAGGCAGAACCTCAAATCTTGACTAAGTCATTAAACTATGACTTTTCCCAGAACCAAACAGAGGAAGAGGAAACCAGAGGTCAAGATCTTTATAGTTCCAAAAACCACTCAGGGCCCGGGCCTGGTACTTGCAGTTCTCGAACAGCTGAGGCAGGAGGAGTACAGGTGGAGGCCAGCCTTGTTCCAAACAGACATACAGACAGACAAACAATAAACAAACTTGGGTCCCAAGCAGGGCCAATTCACTCAGTCAAAATGGAAGCCATGGCAACCGCACTAACTGCTACACTAACCATCCTGGTAGAAGAGAAGGCATTTGGAAGAGATACCGTGTTATTAGACTACTGATACGATGGACCCGGACAGTGTGTGTGTGTGTGTGTGTGTGTGCGTGCGTGCGTGCGTGCGTGCGTGCGTGCGTGCGTGTGTGTGTGTGTGTGAGTGTGACACCTTGGTGCTAGCCACATGAGAGGTCTGCTTCCCCAGGAAGAGATTTCACAGTTCCAACAACTTGTCAGACTACCTTGTAGGATAGACCTGAGCTGATTACCTTATTATTCATCTCTCCTGCCCTTGATTTAAATATGAACCTATTATCAGTGCCCTGAAGATTGACTGGTGGTTCCTCTTTGACTGTATGTTCTTCTTTCCAATCTGAACACACTGAATAAACGCCTTTCTCGGCTTCTCAATATTACTTACTCTCTTCAAAAAAAAATTTTAAGGTCTATTTATTTATATTTTTGAGACAAGGTTTATCTACATAGCTTTGGCTGTCCTGGAACTCACGCTGTAGACCAGGCTAGCCTGCCTCTGCTTCCTGAGAGCTGCCACCACCTCCTGGCTAGGTTTATTTATTTTTTGTGTGTGACTGTGTTGCCTACACATATGTATATACACATGGTGCCCATGGAGGTCAGAAGAGGGCACTGGATCCCCTGAACTATGGATGGTTGTGAGTCACCACGAGGGTGCTGGGAACCGAACCAGAATCCTCTGGAAGAGCAACAAGTGCCCCAAGTCACTGAGCCATACCTCAGGCCCCTTTACTTGTCCCTTTCGGCCGAGCACACATCTAGCAACACTAGTAACAGTACTAGTTACCAGTTACGAGTACTCTATCTCAGATTTCTTTCCCTCTCTAGCAAAATGACTAGGCTAAGGGCTGCACAGTTGCTGGAAATAATATACTTGTAAACACTACTTATGTTTAAACAAATAATAGAAACACAAAGGTAATTCAAGCCCCTGACACTGATGGGAGAAGGAGCAGACAGCCTGGCATTAGTGCCCACGACAGGGTAGGTTGGTTAGCAGCCACTTTAACTGAACGATGGACTTAGGCCTATCACCTGGGTTTGAAGCCTTACTAGTTTACCGGCTTACTGTGTAGCTTCAGGGCAAGACACTTAACATCTGGAGCTGTCTTAAGGGTAATGAGCCAACATATCTACAGATCTGGAACTCAGTGGCACTGACTATAATTACCATTATTTCTGGATTCAGTCCATGAACTAAAACAGCTGCTCCTGGGAGGGTAAGACAGGCCTCCTCTGGCATGAAAGCTAAGTGTCTCACCAAGTGTTCATGGACAAAAATAATGCTTGCAGCCAGTAGTATCGACTCCTGTTGTCTTGAAAGCAGGATGAAGATAGTAGGCAAATTACAAGTTGAGACTGCATGCCAGCTATGTGGTTCCCAGATTAGCTGACGACTGACTGTTCATGAAAAATGAAATGACAAAGTGAATGCCCTTGACTCTGCCTACCTTGGAAGGGTGTCTTGAATTCTCTCTGTCGTTGAGCTGATTGACTAGTTAGTCCCTGGGGGTCTGTAAATGACACCTTGCACTGTCTCCCAGCTTGCCTGCACGCTGTACACACCCTTGGCACCCTCTGCCTCCATCCCATGATTGGTGTACAGGAAAAATAAAGTTGAAAGTCCGGTGCTCCTGTCAATGCTTCAGCACCCAGCTCTACCTGCTTCTTCTTCATATTTGGGTCACGTGATCTCATGGGATCAAAGGAAAGGGTACTTAGAGTTCTTATGTGCAGTTCGTTTTTTTCTGCCCCCTGACAAGAGGTTCCCGGACTTCAAATGCCAATGGAACAAACCCCTCAGCTCCCACTGCAAATATTGCGAAAGTAGTGCACGAGCCTCCATGTCTCGACTGACACATGTCTCTGTGCCAGAAGGTAGGCACAGAATGGAATGCAAAGTCTTCTTATTTGGGTCCTGAAATTTTTACCTTGTATTTCCTAATTCACAATCTGTCATGGGAACCACCCTAACCCCTTTCTTTCAAGCTCCCTAGGCCTGAGAGACAGCCCAGCAAGTAAAAGTGCTTGCTACCAAGGCTGACAATTCCCATAACCCACAGGGAGGAAGGGGAGAACCGATTCCTATGAGTTGTCCTCTGACCTTCACATGTATGCTATGCATGTGTGGGCCCTCCTACATACATACACATGAATAAATAAAATACAAAAAACAAGTTGTTCCCAAAGGTATATCCAGTCTTTAAAAAAATGTAAGCATGGTGGTACATGATATTGATCCCAGCACTTCTTAATGTAGAGGCAGGCAGATCTTTGTGAGTTCAGGCTGGCCCAACAAAGCTGTCTCAAACAAACACAAATCACTAACAACAATGAAAATACTGAAGTTCAAAGTGGTTCATAGAGACTTATCAATCTCCTGCTTCGTAGCTGTAGGATTTTAGGGAAGTTAGTCTATGTGCTTTGGTTTCCTTCCTGTGAAATAGATGGTGAAGAATGAGTTAATAAAATTAATACAGTGCCTTCATCCAAGTGTTGGTCCTAAGGCTGACAAAAGATGGGTGGGAGGGAATATCTCTGTGGATAAAGTGCTTGTCTTGCAAGCAGAAGACTGGAATTCAGTTCTCAGAATCCACACAAAATGCCAGATAGTCATGGTGAACACGCACTCAGGAGGCAGAGTCAGCCTGGTCTACAGAGCAAGTTCCAGGACAGCCAGAGCTACACAAAGAAACCCTGTCTCGAACAAACAAAAAAGCCACTTATGGCACACACACATAGAGGACCACAGGGCTGCCTGTCGAGCCAACCTAGACTAACTGGTGAGCCCCAGGCCAATGAGACATCACGCCTCAAAAGCCTCAAAAGGAGTAGACGGTGTTCTTAAGGCTGACACCTGAGGGGTTGTACTCTGGCTGCCACATGCTTGGGTACACATGAACACACACATTAAAAATAAAAATTAAATGTTTAGCAGAGGGAAAAGCAGTACTTTGAAGAAACAGCCACTTCTGGCTAGTCTCCTAGTTTAGTGAAACGACATCTGTGAAGCATTACCAGGCATCGGTCCTCGTAGTCAATCCAGTTTTACAAGCCCACCTTTGCCTCAACAGGAGTTTTGAGAACATTAAAAACAGTATTAATTCCCTTACTCTTTCAGTAAGTATTTATTGAGTAGTTACTATCACTGGATACTGGCTACAAGGAAGCATATTTAACTTGGTTCCTCATTCAGTCATGTGACTTTGGGAAGGTTTACGTAATCTACCCCACCCCCACCTCCTCAATTAGGGTTGTCTGAGTATGTGCCTGTGCCTGTGAGTGCTGGTACTTGAGGAGGCCTGAGGCATTGGGCTCCCTGGAGTTGGAGATACACCAAGTTCTGAGCTACCTGACATGGATGCTGGGAACAGAACTCTAGCCTTCTGGAACAGTGGGCACTCTTAACCACTGAGCCATTTCTCCAACCCTACCTAACAACTCTTAATTCAATGACTCATTGTGACCTCCGGGGTTCCCTTCTGCTCATATATTTTACAAAATCAATTTTTGTCTTTCATTTATCGCTGGCCTTTCCACCTCTAACACCCCAACACTCCCACGCCAATTGCTCCAGCAATTTATTGTATAGGCTTGACGGGATAAACGCGGGATTTCTACCCTGTTATATTTTCCAACAAAGAGTCCAGTGGCAGCATTGGGAGGGAGTTAGGTGTCACAAGGTATCACTAGAAATCGCGAAATTCGTTAGCCCAAAGGTAACCCTACTCTGTAAAAGTATAAATTACGGGGAGAACTGGATTTTGTCTTGTCACCAAGAAAAAGGGGGGAAAAAAGCTTTGAAGGCCAAACTGGGCTACGAAGTGAGACTGACTGCCTCATAGCCCGCATCCCAACCAAAGAGAAGACTTCAAAGGAACAAAGGGGAAAGACTAATGAAGACACACGGAGTAAATCAAAAGACGCTCTCCCCGCCCATCTCCTCAATCCGTGTTGCATGCAGACCCGCTGTCTACCCTATTGTTTTATTCTTTGCTTTTATTTATGCATTTATTTATTTTTTTCCAGACAGGTCTCACTACACAGCCCAGGCTAGCCTTGACTCGCAACCCTCCTCTCTCCACCGCCTCGAGTGGTGCGACTACATGCGGGTTTGATTGATGTCCACCCAACAAACTTTAGAGAACTTCAGCACAAGGTTTGCCTTGAGAGTGTACAGATTACCACAAAACACGCGTTGCAAGGAGATGCAAGGAGACACAAAGTTGTGCGGGGATTGGGGGTAGTGTTGGAGTGTTAAGTTTCATCAAGGCTGGTGGTACCTTCGGACCCAGCCCAGCCCAGCCCGTTCCACCCTGGGTCGGCGGCTGAGCCTCCACGTTCTAGGAACCCGCCCAACCCAGCCCACGGGTCTCCTCGAGTGGGCTCAGGGCTCACCGCAGTCCTTGAAGCGCAGGGGCTCGGCCTGGGTGGCGGCGACAAGCGCCAGCAGTAGGATCGTGGCAGCCAGGGAACTCATCGTGGATAAGAAGGCTCCGCGGTCTAGGAAGGAAAATGCAGGGGCGGCAGTCACAAGATAAACTTGTCACGGCGGACCGAGGGAGGAGCCGGATCAGTCCACTTATGACCAGTAACCAGCGAAGGCCCGCCCGCGCCCCGCCCGCGCCCCGCCCGGGGCTCCAGGGCTCCTGGCGTGCAGCCTGCGCTTTATGCCCGCCCATCTCTTCCGATCCCAGGCAGGGCCCTCAGAGATGCAGCTCTTCTTTGCGTTCGTCCCACTCTATTGGTACCGCCCCGTGTCGGCAATTGGAAGCGTTTTCAGCCAATCAAAGCCCTCTTATCTCGTTATCCAATAGGCATGCTTAGGGGGCGGGGACTGCAACCCCGCCCCTGCTCCATCTCCCCGCCTCCCAAAGCCCAGGCTAAGGCGGGGATTTGAACTATGCTAGGGGCGGAGCTTGCGGAGCAAGATGGCGGCTGCCAGACCCTTGTCCCTAACGGCTGCGGCGTTCAGGGCGGCCATTCCCTGGCCCCGGGGCAGGTACCAAGGGTGGAAGGTCACTTAGGAGGAAGGGTGTTGGGTTCTGCACCTCCAGGATAGATGTGAGACTAAAGCTCACGGGGGAGGTGAGGGTTTGGCAGTTCAGATAAAGGTGTCTCCAGATTCGGTGCGAGGCGACCATTAGAAGGTCATCAGGTGCCTCTTCGGTCCCCGGACTCATCCTCCTCCTCCACATCCCAGGCTCCTCGCGCCCTCTCCCGGGCTTTTGACCCGGTGGGAAGCGACGTCCTCCGTTCCAGAGTCTGGCGAGGGACAGATCCGCCTCACAGACAGCTGCGTCCAGGTAGGGGGCCGGACGCGGGGCGGCGGGGCCCAGGAGGGCTCTAGAAGAGTTTCGTTTCATCCACCCCTTTATCCCCGCTTGCTTGGCGTTCTTGATCCTCTTTCCTTCTTTTCAGAGGCTTCTGGAAATCACCGAAGGGTCAGAATTCCTCAGGCTGCAAGTGGAGGGAGGCGGATGTTCCGGATTCCAGTACAAATTTTCACTGGATACAGTTATTAACCCCGACGACAGGCAAGGAGGACGGATGGGTCGCTAGAGGCTGTATCAGAGGGACACAAGTGACCCCAGTTTAAGAAACACTTTTATTCCCAACTTAAAAGCGTTTAAGTTTGTTTAACACCACCACCCTCCTCATACTGTGAGGATACAGCAAGATTTGCCCTCTTGTTTCAAAGTAAGGAAGGAAATAGGCTTGCTTAGAATCCATTGGGTAGTCCATTGAGAGGCTGGCTAGATTCAGGTCAAGTCCCTAAATATTTCTCCTATTCATCACATTGAATCTTTCTGCTTCAGAGAAAGTCAGCACCCGATAGAAGACCTAAGCAATATTCCATGTAATGAGAACAGGGTGTGCACCTATGGCCTGGGGGTGAAGGGTTCTTGGTGTTTGTGACATGGGTCGTTAATGCTTTCCTCTTGTCTTTTCAGGGTATTTGAACAGGGTGGGGCGAGAGTGGTGGTTGACTGTGATAGCTTGGCCTTCGTGAAAGGGGCCCAGGTGGACTTCAGCCAAGAACTCATCCGAAGCTCGTTTCAAGTGTTGAATAATCCTCAAGCCCAGCAAGGCTGCTCCTGTGGGTCCTCCTTCTCTATCAAAATCTGACACAATGACAGATGACCCTTGGGACTGCCATCATATTGTAGCAGTATGAAAAACCTGGAATAGTAGAATTCTATAGGTTTCTTATCATGTCCCGTTCTTATTTTATTTAATTTAATCCAGGAGTGTTTGATTTTATCACTATTAGTTATGGAACATGAAGCGTTTGGTCTTGGCCACAACACTATCCCCCCCCAGCACAATGTTAAGGCCAAGTCCAAATGCTGTTACCTCAACTTTAATCACTGGTTGGAACCCAGTATAATTTGTAGCACCTCTAAGGCTCCAAAATTTGGAGTTAACGTCTCTACCTTCAGAGTTGTTTGTATATATGTGTATAGCTATGTATAAAGCATCATCTTAAACTATTCCTTATTGTGTTTTCAATCAGGATCACAGTTTGAGTAGCTTGAACACCAGTAACCAGAATCAATTAGAAAGGCAAATGAAATATTCTCTTTTTTTCTTCCTTCCCTCCCTCCCTCCCTCCCTCCTTCCTTCCTTTCTTTTTTCCTTCCTTCTTTATTTCAACAGAGTCTTATAGGTAGCCCTGGTTCTGAACACTCAGTTTTCCTGTCTCAGCCTCTTAAACATGTTACTGCCAAGCCTGGTTCATTCCTTTTCTTTTCTTCCTGTCCTTCCTTCCTTCCTTCCTTTCTTTCTGTGGTTGCACCCCTCCCCACATTGACTCCCAGGGCGTTGTACCTGCTAGGCAAGCATTCCAGCACATCGGGTCTATCAGTCACATTGGGGGTCATGTATCAGATACCCTGCATATCAAATATTTACACTATGATTCATAATAGTAGCAAAATCACAGTTGTAAAGTAGCAAAGAAAGTAATGTTATGGTTGGTGTGTCACCACAACATGAGGAGCTGTGTTACAGAATCAAACTGTTAAGGAGGGTGAGTACCATGATCCCAGCACTTGAATAATATTCCTAGATTGCTTTACTTTTTACATGGAGACAGAGTCTCACAAAATTTCCCTGGCTGGCCTTGAAGTCCCTCTATAGTTCAAGCAGGCCTTGAAGTGTCAGTTCCCCAGTCTTGGTATCCCAATTAGTTGGGATGACAGGCCAGCTTTATTGCACTCTTTGAATGTGAGGAATTTATTCTTATGTCCTATGAAGCCCATTTTTCACTTAACGATATTATAGGGAAAATGCATTCTATTGTCATACTCATGAATCTGCTAGGTTTTATAATAACAAGAGATTCCTCCAACCCCCCCCATAAAAACAAATTTGTCCAGACCCCTGTTGATACCTAAATTACTTGAAAAAATAGCCTTTCTATTCCAGGCCTATGGAGGTGTTTCAATATTTTGTGACCATTTAGTAATTGAATTAATATAGAATATGCTGCTTTACCTACCTTATTTAAGATATCTTTGGTTTTTTTACATAGGGGAAGTGGTTCCTTCATTATTTGTAGATAATAAAAAGGACTTTCTCAAGAGTGGATTAAATATAAAATGACCAGTAAAATTTCGATTTTGTGTTACTTGGTCTTTTTAATATGTATCATAGTTGTATATGTCTATTAGACATATATTTATTTGCTAAACCTTCCATCGCAAGCCATTGACCATTAGAATGAAAAACTTTTTTGGTTTATTTGTCTTTTTCTTTTTTCTTTTAAAGATTTGTTTATTTATTATATATACACTGTTCTGCCTGCATATATTTCTGCAGATCAGAAGAGGGCACCAGATCTCATTACAGATGGTTGTGAGCCACCATGTGGTTGCTGGGAATTGAACTCAGGACCTCTGGAAGAACAGCAAGTGCTCTGAGCCATCTCTCCAGCCAGTCTTTTGTTTTTTCTAAAACAGTGTTTCTCTGTGTAGCCCTGGCCATCCTGGAACTCACTCTGTAGATCAGGCTGGCCTCCAACTCAGAGATCCTCCTGCTTCTGCCTCCCAAAGTGCTGGGATTAAAGACATGTATCAACCACCACCCAACCAAAAGAAAAGTTTTTTTATAGAACATCAAAAAGTAACTCAATTAACTGCCTATGTAAACAAACAGACAAAACATCTCCTATAAACTGACGAAAACCTCATAACATTCAAATACTTCAGGCTGGAGAATGTGTGTTCTTGATAAGCTGTTTTTGCTGAGTTCTTATAACATTTGGTTCTAAATTATGTAAATTGACTTGTCAGGATTAATAACGTAAAAATATAAATATAAGGGTAGTTTAAACAATGGCACTAATTTAATGGCAATGTATTCTAGGTCAGTAAATGGAGCTCTCTCTGTCTCTGTGTGTGTGTGTGTGTGTGTGTATACATAAAAGTCAAAAAGTCTGTAGGAAGCAGCCCTTGTGTGTACATGTGTACTTGAAGATCAAGAGCTAAAATTCCACCCTGAGAAACGTCATTAAAGGGGCTGGCTGAAAAGATGGCTAAGAGCACTGACTGCTCTTCCAGATGACCTGGGTTTGAGTCCCAGCACCCACATGGTGGCTCACAATTATCTGTAATGCCAGTCCCAGGGGATTTGACACCATCCTCTGGCACCAGGCACATACGTGGCACATAGGTATATGTGCAGGCAAAAAATCCATATACACAAAATAGAATAAATCTTAAAAGAATGCCACTAGAAAAAGGATGTATAATCGTCATCACACATTTGTCTCAAGAGCAGTGTATTTTCAAATTTCATTTCTTTACAAGTCAACATTAGAGTAGTGACAATTATAGAGGCCATCAAGATGAATTACAAATTATGTTATGCTCCAAATTATGCTGTACTCCTGGGCACCCCGAGTTATTCTAAGGCTTCATTTTAATTTGGGGCTCTAAGAACATCTTTGCTTTAATTGATTTTCTATTTCCATTTTCATTTTCATAATTGGCACAGTCCATCTTGGCAAACTTCCAATTGTTCCCACCGAAGTCTTCTGCTTTCTAGACATTTCTTCATCTGCTTCTTCAAGTTTCACTGTGGCATCTTAATAATCTGCTTATTCTTAATACTCTCCTGAAATGTTAACTTCTCAGCCTCGGGATTAAGTCCTTAAATGACATTTGTCCATAGAACAGATCTCTACATAATAAGGAATCCTGCCCTATCATGAAACTCTCTCTTTCTTCAAGCTCTAGCACTAATGATGTTCCTGTTTCCTGGGTTCAAGCCCAGTGGCGTCTGCATGAACTTCATACATTGTAGACTTTTGGATAACTCTGTCTTGTACTCAGATGCCATGTTGGCTACAGTTCCTGCCATGAGCCCCACTCCACATTTAAAAAAAAAAGCTTTTTAAAACACAAATTTTAATAATTTTTAAGGTATTTAGGCGAGGCACTTAAGTGAGCTACAGAACTTGAAACAATTATTGCAGCGCCGTGGAGCCCAGAACTGTTCAGAAGGGTGTTAGAATCCATGCGGGGTGTTGGTGGCTCACGCCTTTAATCCCAGCACTTAGG